GTAAAGAGTTCTTAAAACTCAGAAATTCAAAGGCAGTGAAGTCAAAGCACAAGCCAAGGAATTCACGATTAGTTCTTTTTGTTCTTCAATCTGCCATTTGTTTGTGTTGTTGCTGTTCATAAAAAATATATATCTTAATATGTTGTTTTCCTTTTAACTATAAAAGGGAAGCGTGCTCACTAACTTGGAAAATATATTTAAGTGTAGAAGAGAGATTTAAAACCAGAATTTGCCGGGCTCGGTGGCTCAGTCTGTAATCCCACGCTTTGAGAGGCTGAGGTGAGTGGATTGCCTGAGCCCGCGGGTTCGAGACCCGCCTGGGCAACTTGGCGAGACTTCATCTCTTACAATAAATCAAAAAATTAGCCGAGTGTGGTAGCGCGCACCTGTAGTTCCAGCTACTTGGAAGCTGAGGCGGAAGGATCGCCGGCGCCCAGCAGGTCGAGGCTGCGGTGACCGGGAGCGGCCACTGCACTCCAGGCTGGGCGACAGAGTGAGACTCCAACTCAAAATCAAAAAAATAAAAAATAAAAATAAAAACCAGAATTTCTCCTACCTGAGCTATTTGGTTTTATGAAAATATCTTTAGTGTAATTTAATTGGGCCAATGACTCTCATCTCTTTTAAAATATTGATCTGACTTTACAGAACTTTTACAAATCTGTTGTTTTTTGTGTGTGGCCATAACAGCAAAACTTCCATAAAAGGTAAAGTTCCCTGTAAGGATTGCACAACTACCTTACACAAAGACACATGTCCAATGTGAGACCATGAGATAGAATTTCCTAGATGTTTAACTACTGTTCTCTTATGTCTAAATTTTTTACCCAAAGAAAAACAAAGAAGGCTACCTGAAAGCTCATGTAGTAACTGTCTTTCAAGGAATCCAGGCTTGGTTATTGAAACTAAAATAGTCGCCTAACAATTTTAGCACATTCTACCGGCCATTCTATTATGCCTAGGCTGACTTTCCTTGGCAGCAAGGTGACATAGGCTGTTGACTGAGCAGACAAAGCCATGGCAATTTTGTGACATTGTAAATAAAATTTTTAAAAAGACAAGTTATTTTTCAGAGAGAAAAGACCATTTCCAGTTATGCTTATAGCATTTCTTTCAGTACCTTTTTTTAACAATTTATTAAAAATTCTCTTCTTTGAAAGGTTTAGGAAAAATAAAATATAAGCATTTTCTACATGTGTTTTCTGTATGTACTAAGCAATACTGGAGAAAAGTACACGACTTAATAGACATGCAGGGGAAGTGGAGAATTAAACTCAAGTGAAAGCTAAGATAAATGATACTGGTGGCTGGGCGCGCTGGCGCAAGCCTGTCATCCCAGCACTCTGGGAGGCCGAGGCGAGGGGATTGCTTGAGCCCAGGTGTTCAAGACCAGCCTGGGCAACTTGGTGAGACCTCGTCTCTACAATAAATCAAAAAATAAGCCGGGCGTGGCAGCACACGCCTGTAGTTTCAGCTACTTGAAGGCTGAGGCAGAAGGATCAACTGAGCCCAGCAGGAGGATCAACTGAGCCCAGCAGGTCAAGACCGCAGTGGCCATTAGCGTGCCACTGCACCCCAGCCTGGGTGATGGAGTGAGACTCCGACTCAAAAAATAATTACAAATAAATAAAATAAAATAAATAAATAATACTGGTACAATAAACAGGTCATGTAACTAAATACGGTGGTCAATATCTGGCTTAAGCAAGAGAAAAAGCTTTAGAAAAGTCTACTTTCACTTGGTTGATTTTCTTACTAGATGTATGACTGATGGGTTCAGTACAATTTGTGAACAGAAAAAAAATAATTGAAATACTTTTGCTGCTTCTTGTTCTACTAGAAAAACAGTATGTCATGCATGAAGAAAAAAGAATGTGTCACAAAGCTGTGTCCAGTATGTTAGTGCCCGTAATTTTAGAATGATAATCTTTGAACAGTCTGCTAATCTAATTATCTGACTCACATAGAAATATTTTTATGCCCCCACTTTATATAAAAAAAATTCATATTATATAATGTATATATCTTTATTATATATGATATATTATTATATATATGACACATATATAATGATCAACAATAGATAATTATCTTTATCCTTTTTGAACCCTCCCAGGGTGAAGATTAAGCAGCCCCCATGCTAGTCCACTGAGTTGTATTCTTTGTGAGGAGCCCAAATACACTCATCACACGCCAGTAAGGTCACTACTACTTAATTTCATCTCATTTAGTTCTCCCTATACTGACCTAACAAATATTTATTAACGTTCTACTATGTGCCGGTCACTACATAGGGAACTGAATATGTTATCATGAACCTTTTAGCTCTTAAATTTACTTGAAAGTGAAAATTCACCTAGTCTATAATTTTCTTTTCAACAGACTAAGCAGCATTTTGCTATTTTCCAACTGAATTTAGAAACAAATACTCTGGCCATTTGTATGTTCTTTTCTTAGTCATGTCTTATATGCTTGCTTCTGTCTGATTTGAAAGTAATAGTTACAGAACTAAAGAGCAACAGAGAGCTTGTGATACTAATTGAGCAGCCTATATCTTCTTTTCAGTTTCCTTGTACTCCTTCCCATGACCTAAATGGTGTTCATCTCCATAAATTCTTGTAAGGTCTACTCTTAACCCTGTGCATATTCTTAGAAAGCATAACCATTACAGAGGAAGGAACATCACATCTCTGCAGTAGTAGCTTCAGGGTTGTATGTAGGAGTGTCTCTGGGGTGGACATCTTTGTTGGAAAAGAACACTCGTTAGAGGACTCACCTTAGAGGCTGTGGAAACTCTACTAAGTTATCCAATTCTAGAAGCCTCATTTTCTAAGTTTGCAAAACTGGATTATAATACATATATCACAGGATTGTCATAAACGTTAGTGAGACGAATGCAATGTCCCTGACTAATGGTATGCAAATCAATACATGGTAAGTATTATTAATAATGTGTAGGACATTAAAATTGAGTGCCAATGCCAGAACATGTTTGGGTATGCTTGCTGTTGTCAGAACAGATTGAGGGTATTAGACAAAATGATTGCCAAATCAATAAAAGCAATTTAAAAACATATTAATATGACCTTTATATTTGAAAGCCAGATGCAACAGATTTAGAAGTTAATAGTCTCCATACTTGATAAATACTGAAATCTGTTTGGAAGCATCCAACTTTGCTTTATGTGGCAGTCTATTAACACAAATCCATGTTAATATTGCGATGTCGCTTTCCCCCCCAAATTTCTAATTATTACTACATAATATGATTAAGCAAGAGCATAAATAAAAGTAATATTGGAACAATATCATTTCCTGTATATTTGCTGTTTTGTATGTTCATTTTTCTATTTCTCAAAATAGAATTCTATGGAAAACATAATCTTTAGATTGGATTATTTAAAACTAAGACTGAGCTACATGTGTACAGCTACTTTACTTCTAGAAAGTGAAAGTGTGTAAAACAACAGGGGAGATTAAAGTCGGACACCTTGAAGAACTCAACTGTAAAAACTTGAAAACACTGTAAAGAAACAAAAATTAAAAGGTACTGACTTTATTTGAAGTGAGGGCATGCATACGAGAACAAAAAAGACTCAGCATGTGCTCTCTGCCATTGCTGCTCAAAGTATGGTCGGTCGACCAGCAGTGCCAGCATCACCGAGCCATATGCTAGTTATCTTTTTGCAAGATCGTCAGGTGATTTGCATGCAATGTGTACATTACAGTTTGAGAAACTCTGCTCTAAGCTATCCTTCCAAGCCCTTTATATTAACAGGAGGAAAAAAATGCTGAAGCTCCTTTACCTTAGTATATTCCTCTATTCCCTGTTCCCTACCCAGGAGCTCTTTTCACACTTTAGTTCCAGTACACAATCATTTTTGTTGTTGTTCCCACTTTCTTCCTCATGATGGTGTCTTTTTAGAGATACATCTTGAGTCTTGACTATTTCATTTGAATTCTTCTATGGAGGGTAGTATCCTCCCGTGATCTATAAGTCAGGTTTCAGCCTCTTTGTCCTACTAAAAATTCAACCTTTCGAGGAACCATGAATGTCACAAGATGATTTATTTAGATAAGTTGTGGACAATAAGAAGTTAGGGAGGGCTGTGTCTTGGGACCCAAGAATCAATGAAATACAGGATGTGAGAGCATGAAGCTCTGTGAAGAGATGAAAGGATTTATTCTCGTCTGTTAGTGAGGCAGCCACATCCCAGCTTTGCAGTAGTAGCTTCAGGATTCGATATAGGACTGTCTCTGGGGTGGCTGTATATGTTGGAAGGGAAAAAGAGGAACTCTGTAGTTTGGCATCAGGTCTTGTGTGTACTTGCTCCTCATACTATTCCTGGGTCTACCAGTTGACTCACTGGTACTGTGGCCTACCTGAGGCTTTTGTGTTTAGTTTGTATATAGATTCCATTAAAAGTGCAAAATTGTAAGCGTTTGAAGTTTTAAGTGTTCAGTGTCCTAAAACATTTTTTAAAGAAAGGTGTATCTGCTCTAGTTTCTCTACTCATGGAGACTCAATCCTTCCTTCCTTCCTTGAGAAAAAAATGGTGGGGAGAGAAAGGGAGATCAGACTTGGAGGCAAGGTAAGGAAGTCTAGGGTTTCATGAAAATTTGCCAGGATGTGGAGTCTTGATTGGCTTTTGCTCACTTCAGCCCCTTATTATTGTTCAACATATAAAGTAAATTCTATATCATTCCTTCATAAATTCAAATTGTATCCAAAGGAGAAGTAGAGTATGGTATATTTCTTATATATCCATTTACTGGTTTATTTTCTTTTTTCCAAGTACATGTCAGGATGGCAGCTTCTCTCATGTCGATTATTTCTGGGCTGACTCGAGAGTCTATTTGGGCCAGAAGAGACAACCAGCGGAGTCCATCTTCAGCAAAACAGAGTTTTTATTATCTTAGACATCATCCTCATTATTATTTTCTTAAGATAATATATATATTATCATATATATAAATATCTTCTTAAGATAATAATACTATAAAATCTGTCTGAGATAAAATCTATTTCTAAAAGCTATTCTATTAACATTATTTTTGTGCATTAGAGAATCTAAACTGTAACAATCCTGTTATACCTAAAGCAGCCCACCAATGCGATGTCAAGGGGAATTCCAGCATAACTGCAACAGAAGAAAAAAGGTGTTTATTTTCAAAACATACTTTTTTTTTTAAACTCATAAAGAAATGCTTCGCTTTAGTCTCATCATATCCACATAACAAAGAGAAAATTTATTCATGCAGTCAGGTAGCCCTAAAGTTGTACTTAAGTCATGGTCATTTGTTTAAGTCAATTACTTGGAACTCCTCTCCTAGAATAGAAATAATGAATGATTGCATTTTCAGGTAGACTCACCAAGTTGGTGTGACGTGACAGTCCTAAGACCATCCTGAATCCTCAATGCCTGGCTACCTCTGGAATTCTGAACCACTTAACACTGAACTTAATTCTATCCAGCAACTATTTTGTAAGCATCTCCTATGTGCCGTGTGTTAGACAACTGGCTCGTAGATGTCTGGGTCCAGAATCTGTAACTCATCCAACCCTAAGGGTTGAACCACTTCATACTACAAGCCCTTTTACTAATATCCTGTGGCCATTTTGTACTCACACTTAGGCCTAAAGGAAAATAGAGAATTGGAGAGGGGCTAGTGATTCACTGAGTTATTGAGGGAAAATCTGTGTCTGAGGGAACTGATGCTAGGTGATCAATATTCTGGCATTCTCTAAGAGCAGTGAAGCTGGGAAGTTGCAATTTGTTTGAAATTGTATGTTCTTAAGTTGGAGGCGGGCTACACTATCAATAGATCAGGGCACTGCAGATATGTGTGCGATTTAAGTTGGTAATAAAGATGAATAAACTTTGATTTATAACTTGTGACTGATTATCACCCACACTTTGACCAGTGCACTTTTAACAAAAATAACAGAGGATAGCAAGGGAGAGAAAGTAACAGCGGAAGAGTAAATTTTGGATAGATAAATGAATGAATAGACGAAATGATAATTTACTGAGCAATTATTCTATGCTAGCCAGTGTCAGACAATTTCTCGTTATCTCATTAAAGCTTCACCAGGTCTCCCCCATTTTGTACAGGTCAAAACTCATGTGAGACATGTGACTTGTCCAAGGCTACACACCTAGTAAAAGGTAGGACTGGAATTGGAGTCATTTTCTTCTCCAAAGATCAGGAAGAAATACAAGATCCTTAGTCTAAGAACCGGTATTCCTGTTAAAATAACTATTATTACACAGATTTCCTTGGGTTCCAGTTCCCAGTCTTTGGTTGGTTTGTGCCTCAGGGAAGGGTTTTGGAGAAAAGATATGTCTTATCGAGGCAAATCCTGTAGAAGTTGATGACAAGTCGAACGTGAAAGGAGATTAAGAAGCACCTACATTTCAGCACCTACATTTCTTCTGAATTGGATGACAGAGCTTCAAAACCTCTCCCATAGGAGTGGAAGAACATGGCGGCGGGGCGGGGAGGGTGAAGAACTTACACCATCAGTTCTTAGCATTTAGCCATCCTAGGAGAATATGCATACAGGGTTCTACTCAGGAAGTGACTTAGGGACAATATAATACATTTTATTTTGTTTCCGGCTATTTTATTTTGCTTACCAGTTGAAGTGATGGCAACATGGAGAATAGTTACTGAAATGGCATAATCCCAAACCCATTCTTCCACAACCAGAACAAAAAGCAATCCACAAACAAAGTAGGTGACCTCTGTTGAGACTAAAAGAACTACAAATAAAAAGAAGAATATAATTATTTGGGATGAGAGCGATGAATGATTCCGAAATATAACTCATAACAAAACCATTAAGAACTTACTCTGGGAAGAAATTTTGGTAAGAATTTCAAAAATATTCCATCTCTTAACAATCCTAAAATTTAAATGAAAACTTTTTCATGGATTTTAAAAGGTTTATAGAAAAATGACATATAATTTCTGTTTCACATTCTTTATACTTAACATCTTAGAAAGTAAAAAAAGATGAACCAATTCAACCAATTCATGCAAATCTATAATTGGATTGCAAATCTCATTTTAAGATATATTAAAAACTAATGAAAAAATTCAGTTCTGAGTTTTAAGAAATGAAAAAAAGAAACGACATGTTAAGAGCTTATTGAACTATAACATTTCTTTGGTACTGAGCACTGCCTAACTTGGAAATGAGTTCTTTTGTGTCTTTGTAATGAAATGGGTTGTTCTGATAGTCATCTGAAAAGCATAACTGATAACCACGGATGAAAGAAAGCCTCATAAATGAAAGGTATGGATGAGGACACTCTTCTAAATCCACTGGCTATCACAGAGTGGTTTTCTTGAACACATATAAAGAGATAAATACTTAAAAGTGAGGACCACAAATCTCTAAGAGCCTTGTACTTGTGATGGGCAAACCTCTTGCCTCTTGTCTTTGATGCGTATTTTTAAGATTATAGTGACTTCAAAGAGGAGATCCATCAAACTTTAAAATGACAAATTTACATGATATACCAAAGTTTCTTTGTAAATGACTCCACTCTCCATAAAATTGCGTTTCTTTCCCTTTATTTTTAATTTTAAAATATTTTAAAATATTTTAATTTTTTGTAGAGATGGGGTCTTGCTATGTTGCCCAGGCTGGTCTCAAACCCCTGGCCTTAAGCAATCTTCCATCCTCAACCTCCCAAAGTGCTGGGATTATGGGCGTGAGCCACTATATCTGGTCTCTTTCCTATTAAAACATGGCAAGTAATTGGTATGTTCATACAATTCAGGAATCAATAAATCTAGGCAAACTATATTTTCTTTTTTTTTACTGTAAATATACTTCTGTCATTTTTGTTTACTCTTCTGCAGCTCTTCAAGGTTGAGGTTCTTGTCTCATGTCCAGGAAGAATGAGGGACACAGACATCCAAAAAGTGAGAAAACAGGATTTATTGAGAGGACAGAAAAGCTCCCACAGTGGGAAGGGGCCCGAAGGGGTTTCCCACAAACTATATTTCCAAAGCAAAAAATACAATAATCATCTTATATCCTATTGTGCAGAAGTTATTATTATTTTTATCATTATTATTATTATTATTTTGAGTCAGAGTCTCACTCTGTCATCCAGTCTGGAATGCAGTGGCATGACCACACCTACCGCAGCCTCAACCTTCTGGGCTCAGGCGATCCTTCTGCCTCAGCCTGCCAAGGAGCTGGGACTACCGGTTCATGCCACCACATCTGGCTAATTAAAAAAAAATGATTGTAGAGACAGGGTCTTGCCTTGTTGTCCAGGCATGTCTTGAAATCCTGGGCTCAGGCAATCCTTTTACCCAGGACTCCCAAAGTGCTGGGATTACAGGTATGAGCGCCCGGACCAGAAGTAGTTATTAACCAGTAAGCCAGTGGCCGCCTAGGAGGTAAGCAAGGCACCGAGTAACCAAGTCCCAGGTACAATCTTTTTAAAAGCCTCACACTTCCTTCTCTTCAATTCTATTTGACTCAGGAGATTCAAAAACTGAATGGAGAGTTCTTACTAACTCTTTATCTGTTGCACATGAACTCCTTGGCCCAGGGCCGATGAGTTTAACATGTCCTGCCGCCTAAAATCGAGAAAGAAGCTGTCCCGTTGACATCACCTCTTCATACCTTCACGCCTTTCTTCACCACTGGTTTACAGAACCACCGCATTAATACAGAGGAAGAGAAATACCACTTTTGTTGGCATTAAGAGATTCTATAGGTTAGCTTACAGCTGCTTGGAGATAGTGACTTTTGTCTTACACAAGCTGGTTTGTGTATGTTGACAGAGAATACTTATGCTTTGTTATAATATGAAAGAAAACATGATTTAAAGCAAGTAGTACAAAATCTGAAGTCTAGATGCTAGCATTTTAGCCTTGCCTTTATCACTTAGGAGTTTTAGAACCTTGAGTGGGATTTTTACTGCTAGATCTGTCTGTTTTCTTATCCATGAGCTGGGAAATGGAGTACTATCTCATTTATTTCAAAAAATTGTTGAAAAGATTTTAATTTGAAATGAAAGACATCTTCAAACTGTTCTCTGCAATGCGAAGGAAAGAGATGAGTAATCAAAATGTTTTAACTGGACTCACGCTTTCCAACGTCCTTGCTAAAACAGATATCCTGGGTGACAAAATCATTGAAACAGACATGAAACCTGACCCTGAACACATGCCGAAGGCTCTGAGATGACGCTTACATTTTATCTCCAAGATTAAATAAGTCTAGATTCTCAAAGAAACCACTTTGAAGAGTTATGGCACTTATCTCCTGAAGCCTAAAATTAAAGATCTAATAGGCTAAGGGTTTATTGATATCTTTGTACATATGTTTGTGTTTCATGAGAGGGAAGGATCATCATAAACTGTGCCAGACTTCCTGGGATCTTCACTAAGCTCTGCTTATGTAAAAGATCTTCATTAATCTTTGCTATGTAAAAACACAGCCTTCTCGAGTAAGCCTGTGATATTGTCCTATCTTTATTGACTGACCCAAAGGCAAGAATTAAATATTAACAGTTGAGTTTTAAAACTCTCTCCCTACTCAAAACACACACACACACAGCCTATACTTGACTCTTTCCTTTGACTATCATATTATCATTTGTGAATCATCTTGGGAAAAACTAGGAAAGTGCCTGCAGAGAAAGGTAAGACCAAATGTTAGACCTCATTAAGATAAAAGTCTTTTATTCTCACATGTTTTTCTACTCAAAATTGGCTCAGTGAGGGACCCAAACAAAGATACTCATTTGAGGAAGCTGTTCTAAACCTGTTTATTTGGATTCAGTCATTCTGGTTGACCAAGTTTTCTATACAAATTATCTTTGAACTCTTGTTTCTTTACCCTCAAGCAGTTTTTGAATATTTACATATATTTGTCCCCAAAAAGATTGTCCAGTGGTTTTCTAATGAGTTGTAATGTTTAGAGAATTGACAGCACATTTTTTAAAAAGTAGAAAAAACTTAACAGAATGTTAAGAATAATTACTGTACATGGAAAGTAAACTGGTGATTTATTTTCTATTTTTTCCCTACTTTCTGCTTATATTTTCTAAGATTTCATTTATTACCCTGTTTCATTTTATAACGGAAAGTAACACTAAAATTTTACTTTGCTAAAGATGGGGCAAACTCACCATGATCACCCCCAAAACAAGTAGGTTTGACATATATTCAATACAAATAGGAATGATTATTAACATACATTAGGCTTATGAACATACTAGTTATTAATGAATTATTATTCCACAAAAATGCTAACTTTAAGAGATAAATTTCGTCTTAGTATACGCTTCCATATTGTTTTCCCTCCACAACAAATTCTATACAATTTAGAGAGGAAAAATAAAGCAGAAATGTACAAAGTAGAAAATGAAATTTCTCTGTCATCCCAGATGGGAGACAACAGTTTGTTGCATAATTCTCCAGATTTCTCACAACTGACGCCATGTATTTGACTCTCTTCTACAGAAATGAAATTATACTATACAAATTCTTTTGTGGTCTATATTTTTACTTTATATTCAGAAACATTTTTATACATCAGTACATTAAGTCATTCTTTTTTTTTCCCTTAAAAAATATCAATGTACAAAAATTCACCATAATACCATGAATTAAAAATTCCCTTTCCCCACTTATTTTATCTTACTTTTTCTCCTAGGAATAGTCACTTAAAAAATTTTTGAGGATACTTTTCCAAATTAGTTTTTGAAGTCAGATATATCACAGAGATAACTGAGGGGCCGACCTGACATTTTAAAATTTTTTAATGAAAATCTTATTTTTAAGAACACTTAGTTCACTAATTGACAAGAATTAAAAATGAAAAACAATTACCTTTATAATTTGCATTGAGCCAGGAGGGATTTGTTCTGAAATCAAATGGTGCCAGGACATCCAATTCAGACACCCTACAGATGTAAGAAGCAAAGATACTTTACTCTGGATGAGGCAGTTCGTAACTGCACATCAAAGCTTTGCACATCACTATTCACATACAAGGATAAATCGTTAGATGGACCTGTTTTGTGGCACATGTAAAAACTGGCTGAAATGGGAAGGAGTCAGCAATGATGACAATAAACTCCGTAAAATATTTTTCTGATTCAAACGTCTCACTCTTCTTGCTTGATTACCAGTTGTGGTAACGATTACAGTAGCATTTCAGATCAATTATTAGGTTAGAGAGAAAAAAATGGTAACAAGGGACAAGGGGATGTCTGAGGATGAAATATAAATTTAACCCTGAATTATACCCCACATCTTTAAAATAAAAATAAATTAAAATTAAAAAAAAGAAGTAAAACAAATCAATAGATTCCTTTAAAAAAAAAAAAAGTTCACCCTAGATATGATTTCTCCAGAGACCTCTGTATAGACTGGGGAAATTGGGGTCACCCAACACTAACTAGAATGTCCATTAAGTTCTTCTTTTTATAATATCGCATTTGTTACATTTGACTTGAGTGAATCTTCCATCCTTGGTATAGTCTTAAAAAAATAAAGCCAAGAACTGGTAGAACTTATAGAACTATTTTGTGTATACTTGCTAATAAATGTCTATATTGGCAGAATAATTTTCTTTTCGATTACTTAAAAAGATGGAACAAGAGCAGGTATCTCCTATTGGCTATTGATTTTTCCCTGAGGGGGCCTAATAGTTGTACATAAAATTGTTTAGGTCAGTTTACAAGAGTAGATATAAAAGTAAAGTTTGCATGTGCATTCATGGGGATATTTAGGTAGCAAAAAAAGAAAAGAAAAGAAAAGAAATATAAACTCACTTCAGAAACAAGCCACTACTTCTTCAGATGTGAAATAGCTTCCCAAAATGGTGTTAAGATATTTTTTAAAATTCGGCCAGGCGTGGTAGCTCACACTTTGGGAAACTGAAACAGGAGAATCGCTTGAACCCAGGAGTCTGAGACTAACCTGGGCAACATAGTGAGACATTGTTCCTACAAAACAATAAATAGCCAGGTATGTAGTCCCAGCTGCTCGGGAGGCTGAAGATCACCTGAGTCCAGGACAATGAGGCTGTGGTGAGCTGTGATATACCACTACACTCAAGTCTGGGTGACTCCAACTCACAAAAATTAAAAACAAACAAAACAAAACAACAAAACTGTCTGACTTGGATGGCAGCCAAATAACATTTTGTCTGCATTGTCTTAAAGAAGACAAAGGTCTGATTAAATCCCACCTTGTACACCAAGGGGACTTGTATCTGAGGTCTCAGCTATAATCTTGGTAGCTCCTATTAACAAATGTGGGAGGAAAATTTAATACTGTGGAGAGAGTAGAGACTTGGAAACAATGAGATCCAAGTTCTAATCCTGGTGGTGTAACTGTGAACTTGGGCAAGTCACTTAATCTCTCTGGGCTTCAAATTATTGTTTATAAATTGAAGAAATTTCATTTTCTGAGATCCTTTCCTATTCTGAAATCTGAGTCTATAAAGTATCCACCTGGACATTCTACTGTGCCCAAGTTTGTGGTTGTGTGCAATTGACCAACCAGTTAGTTTCCTCCTGGAGCTTTAAGGTCTAATTACTTCAAATTCCTCACCTGACTCACAGTAACTACAAACCCTTGAAATCCCATGGAGAAGTGTCCCGTAGAGTCTTGCCTCTTCCTTGCCCCAGGCATGGCCTCAGCATCTTCAGTTCCAGGCAGAGGCTGAGACTTCAGCTGATCATCAAATGCTCCCTCAGCGGGTTTGCCTGCAAGCATGCTGAATAATCCATCCATTGCAAAAATTGTTCTAATAGGCCAGGTATAGTGGCTCATGCCTGTAACGCCAATAATTTGGGAGGCTAAGGCAGGAAGATTGCTTGACAAGCCTGGACAATATAGCAATATCCTGTCTCTCCAAAAAAAAAACCCCCATCTTTTTTTAAAATTAGCTAGGCATAGTGGCACATGCCTGTAGTTCCAGCTACTCATGAAGCTGAGGCAGGAGGATCCCTTGAGCCCAGGAGTTTGAGGCTGCAGTGAGCTATGATTATACCGCTGTACTCCAGCCTGGGCAACAGAGTGAGATTCTGTCTCTAAAAAAATTTAATATATTTTTTAAAATTGATGTAATTATTTTTGATTGTTAATTTGTATATTAAAATAGAATTCCTTTCTTGCGCTATAAAATAAATAGTTTAAACACTCTATTTCCAGGAAGTTGACATATTGACAACCCAAATCTTTAGAGAAAAAAATTCAACCATAGCAAGACAAAAGTTACCTGAAAAATAATGCCTCTCACTCACGCAGAAATGATACCACTAAAAAATACGTGTATAATCTCATGTTGTCCTCATGATAACTTTTTTTGGATTATTACCCCTACTCTATTTGACAAGTGAAGACGCTGAGATAAGAGAAGCTCCCTGACTTGGTCAAGAAAATTCAGGGCGTTAGTAAGAAACTGGGCCAGGTAATTCCCAAAAGCTATTTCCAGTATGGAACCGAAATTATTTAAATGGTGCTCTCTAAGCTCTCTTCTTGTTCAAACTTCCTCTGATTTAATACCAGCCCAGGGAGTCATAGTTTCACTTCCCAACATGACTGTCCTCCAAAGAGGTGAGAGGATGATCCTGCCTGGTTCTATGCACTTCACTTTATGATTGTCACTTTCATCATTTTCAAAAATAGAAGATGAGCTTATTTTGACTTCAAAAACAAAGCAAAAGAATATGCCATTGAGAAATCTGCATCCTCTCATCCCTAAAGACACGTCAACTATTATAGTAAACTCCTCTCATGTGCAGTGTCAGTTTCTTAATTCTGTTTGAGGATGATGTGCTACTTACTTGAACATCATGCAGCTGATGCTCAGAGACACGTAGTACACAGTGTAGAACAAGATGACACACACGAGGAGATTCTGCAGAACAACCTGTAGAGAAACCAGGTGTGAGATCCAAGCGCCCGGGCTTTTTCACATGGTTGTTGGGAACTAGTTTAATGCCCAAAAGATGAGGAATGACTGCCAGATAGCCTTGGCTAGCTTGGAGACCCATGGGGTAGGAAGGGCTTCAAAGAGCACAACGAAAGCGTTGTTGACTGAAGAGGCTGTCATATTGCACATGTGCACCAAGGTTTAATGCACTCTATAAATCCATATCACTTACCCTCCATCCAGCAGAACAAACTTCTGAAACGCTAGTATTTGTATTTTAACTTGACACAGTAAGTCTAAATCTCAGCTGTGGCAACAATAAAAACACGAAAGCAGGTAAATTTCAAAAAGTATGAACAAAAAAAGATTAAAAATACACAAGCGTCTACAGAGCCACTGGCCAAAACACAATAGATGGTCCTGAAATGGAGTCCTTCGACATCTGAGAGTTACCAAGGAAGCACTGCAGATTAATGGCCATCAGATGGATTATTCAGCAACTGGTGCTGAGAAAATTGTCTAACTTCTAAACAGAAAAATCCCATTAGAGTCCAGTCTTGTACCAGACACCACAATAAATTTCAAATGGATTAAAGGCTTAAATGCCAAGGAATAGGTTGGGAGAGAATATTTACACTATATATCACAGGCAAAGGATTGATATCTATAATACATAAACTTACACAGATTAAAAAAAGACAAACACACCAATAGAAAAATGGACAAAGTGTCTAAATAGGCAATTCATGTGAAGATACACTTAAAAAGCCAAAAAATGCTGAACTTTACAATTCATCTTTTAAAATATATTCTTATGAGTATCACAAAAATTTCAGCATTTCACATGGGAAATGCTCGGTTTATTCTTTTCATATTTGAATCTTTAAAAGTCTTTTTTTGCTTCACCAACACTCTAACACTTTAGAATTATTCATTTTCTCTGAATGACTAATTCACCAAATCGACCCAATCTTTTTATTGGCCTAGGTGTGGAAGAAGTCCTCTGCTAAAGGCAAGAGAAGGTGGTTAGCACAGGGCGTCCCACAGTCAATTGGCTGAATGGACCGAATTTACAGATTTACCAAGAACTGACATCTTTCAACTATTTAAAAATGGATGGGCTGTCAGACCTAGGAGGGCCACGGAAAACCAGGACTCTGGGGTTCTGGGACCTTCAGAATCTTCCTCATCCCCTACCCCAAACCATCCTGAATCCTGACCCTCCCTACTCTTTCCTGAAGACCACTCCCCCCACCCAGTAAGTCTCTTCCCTCTCTACCCCTCATTCTCACCCACCTTTGCCCTCAGTATCTCACATTTCTTGTCGCCTCATCACTCCTCCTGCATGATGCTCTGTCTCTCTTTCCTCTACTCTAGGTCACCTCCTATCCACATTCCTCCTTCTTTCTCTAAGCCCTCCCATAGCCTCTGGCTTCATGATGGCCAACGCAATATTTTTTAAAGAAGCAGTAAAGGATGGTTGCAAAATGGACTTTCTCCATAGTTGTCTTTTATTTATTTTTATTTTTATTTTTTTTTGAGTTGGAGTCTCACTCTCTCGCCCAGACTGGAGAGTGCAGTGGCCGCTCCTGGCCACCGCAGCCTCGACCCGCTGGGCTCCGGCTATCCTTCCGCCTCAGTCTTCCGAGTAGCCGGAATTACAGGCGCGCGCCACCACGCCCGGCTGATTTTTTGATTTTTATTGTAGAGATGAGGTCTCGCCTGCCCAGGAGGGTCTCGAACCCGCGGGTTCAGGCAATCCACTCACCTCAGCCTCCCAAAAGCGTGGGATTACAGGCTGAGCCACCGAGCCCAGCAGTTGTCTTTTATTAAAGAATAAAAATCCTCCCTAGAGTCCTCCAGCAAGCTTCCCCTTATGTCTCATAGACCACCACAAGGCTATGTGAACAATCACAGACAAGACTGAAAGGGTTTACCACGACAGGTTCCAGATCATTGTGACTGTGCCCCTGGGGACAGGGACGCACCGCCTCAGTGAAAACCTTGGAGTTCTATTAGCAAGGAAGGAATGGGTGTGAAACTGTGTCTTTGAGATGGAGGAACAATATGGAAATAGCTAAAAGCCCTCATTTTGCGGAGAAGATTATTTGGAGGTCAAGAGAAAATGTGGAAGCTTTGCCTGAGTTGAAGGAACAAATATTGTGCTCAAAACATTAACTGGTCCAGTCCCTTTCCAACTGCGGAGGTGAGGACCTGTTGATAGGAGATGCTTTTGTAACAGGGAGCAAATCAGGGCTTCTTCAGCCCTTTATTTAAAAAGCATTTTTTTTTTCTTTTTTAGAGACAGTTCTGTCGCCCTGGCTGGAGTGCAGTGGAGTGGCCATAACTCACTGTAACCTTGACCTCCTGGCCTCAAGCAATCCTTCTGCCTCAGCCCCCTAAGTAGCTGGGACTAAAAGTGCACCAGTATATCTGGCTAATTTTTTTTTTGAATCAAGTTCTCACTCTAATGCCCAGATTGGAGTGCTGTGGCACCATCATGGCTAACTGCAGCCTAATTTTTTTAAACCTAATTTGTGTAGAGGCAGGATCTAGCTATATTGCCCAGGCTAGTTAGCCTTATAATTTTATTAATAAGTATCATGTGTCTATGTTTGCTTTCCTCTTTACAGTATGAACTACAATAAATTAGTTTTATTTATTTTTATTTTTTGAGTCGGAGTTTTACTCTGTCGCCCAGACTGGACTGCAGTGGCACCCTCACGGCCACCGCAGCCTCGACCTACTGGGCTCAGGTGGTCCTTCTGCCTCAGCCTTTTGTAGCCAGAACTACAGGCATTCACTACCATGCCTGGCTAAGTTTTTGATTTATTGTAGAGACAAGGTCTCGTCAAGTTGCCCAGGCGTGTCTCGAACCCCTGAACTCAGACAATCCTCTCACCTTGGCCTCCCAAAGTGCTGGGATTACAGGTTTAAGCCACCATGCCCAGCCAGTTTTTCTTTTAATTTGAGTGTTAATAGACTCTGGTTGAAATATTTCTCAATGATTGCTTTATTTTATTTCAATCCAAAATAAGAATAATATATAGTCTATACTAATATATATTTTAAGCAAACATGAAACTCCTCTTATTTCTGTTAGCATTGAAATTTAAATATTTTAGGTTTTTAATATGTTCTCTTGCTATTGAATTTTACTTTTCTATCCCAAACAATAGGATTGTGTTACATACTTAGAAAACCCAAATACTAAATCTGGATAAGACATTTGGAACTATTTTTAAAAAATTAAATCATAATCAGACATTTGGAACTATTTTTAAAAAATTAAATCATAATTTATGGGCGAATATATTTATTGACAAATTTGACATATAGCTATACTTACTTTTTCTGACAAATTTATAAAACACTACATATAATTATAATATCACAATGGTGCATTTTACAAAGATTTTTATTTTTGTTTTTATTTTTTGCGTTGGAGTCTCTCTCTGTTGCCCAGGCTGGAGTGCAGTGGCACGCTCACAGCCACCCCAGCATCGACCTGCTGGGCTCCAGCGATCCTTCCACCTCACCCTTCCAAGTAGCCAGAACTACAGGTGTGCTACCACGTCTGGCTAATTTTTTGATTTATCGTAGAGATGAGTTGCCCAGGCTGGTCTCAAACCCTCAGGCGCAGGCAATCCACTCACCTCAGCCTCCCAAAGTGCTGGAATGACAGGCTGAACCACTCACTGAGCCCTGCCTGCAATGATTTTTAAAGAACTATTTTGAAAAGCAAGTCATAGGTTTTAAAAACAATTACTTTTTTCTACCTGAATTATACATGTAGATTTTTAAATAATGATTTTCTTATAAGCAAATTCACTTGCCACTGGTAATTTCTTCCTCTAGTCTATACCCCACACAACCTGTGGAACTGACGACTTTCTGAAAAGACAATCAGACTACGACACTCCTCTGCCTGATAACCTTCTGTGGCCTCATACCATCATCAGGGTTCATCCAAAACATTTTTCTGTTTGACAAACAGTCACTGGGCTGGGTGGCAGCGCTAGATGACTTGGATGTGGTCCCGTCCATACAGACCCAGGCTAGCGGTTCTCAAATGTACAAGCGTCAGACTCCCCTTGAGGACCTGTTGGAACACAGATTGCTGGGTCCCTGCCCCAGTTTCTGATTCAGTATGTCTGGGGTGGGGCCCAGGGACGTGTGTTTTTAACAAATTCCCAGAGGATTCTGGGTCTGATGCACCTGTTAACCACACTTTGAGAGGCACTGATCTAGAGACAGGACTGAATCATCAGATGGCTACAAGAAAGAGAGAAGTGGTATGATTGACGGGTGTTACAGAGCGCTGTAGAGGCCCAAGGGAGAGGCCAGAGGATAGCAGGGGGTGTGTGTGCGCGCGCGCGCGCGCGCGCGTGTGTGTGTGTGTGTGTGTGTGTGTGTGTGTGTGTGTGTGTGTGTGTGTGAAGGGGTGGCTAGGAACATTTCTCCAGGAAATGTTTGACAATAACATTTATCGTAGGTTTTACTGTGGCAGGCACCACATGTGAATTACCTCATTTAATCCTCATAAAAATTCTGAGTGGTAGACTCCTTTTTTTAGAGAGAAGAAAAATGAGATTCAGAGAGGTTTAGCAACTTCTTCAACTTCTGATGATAAATTGCAGAGCTAGGACTCGAGCCTGGCTCTGAATCTCAACCCTCCTGCCATTTGTGGTGGGCTGGGGTGATGGAGGTGGGTTGCAATAGGCAAAAGAAGCCGCTCTGGCAAAAAAAAGATGACTCGAGCTAACTTAGTTTGGGGGTGGATAGGTGGAGTAAGAGGGTGAGTCAGTCTGTAATACAACACACACACACACACACACACACACACACACACACACACACACACACAAGAATAATGTTGAAGGTCAGGCATGAAGGTTCACATTAGTAATTCCGGCTTTTGTGGAAAGCTGAGACTGGAGGATTGCTTAAGCCCAAGAGTTTGAGACCAGCCTGGACAACACTCCCTTACTCCACCT